GCCGTACGCGGCCCCGCCTCCCGGGTTCCCGGGGCCGTGCGCGTCCCCGCCTGCCGCCGCCCAGGGCCGCGGCGCCGCGCGCGTCCCCGCAGCGCCCCGCCCCTTCCGGCCCGGGAGATTTGATCTCCTTGGCGGGCGGAAGCGGCTGGATCCCTGAGTCCGGAAAGGTTCCTAAGAACTCTTCGCCGCTTCGCTCCGGACGGCTGGCCGGCGCTTCTGTCCATCTGTCCAGCCCCGTTCCGCTTGGCCCTCTGCCCCTCAGGTCAGTTCTCCCGCCAGTCCGCCGCCGCCGTCGGTGAGGGCGGGGGTCTGGGCTGTGTGGGGCGCGGGGAGCGGCGGCCCGAACCCAGTTTGCTCCTGGTTCTCGGGAGGCTGGAAGATTACATTAGACTCCCGCTTCACCAACCCTGGTTCCTGGTTGAGACCCCCGGTTTTCTTCTCTGTAAGTAAGGGTGATGACAGTGCCCACTTTGCAGGGTTATTGAAGAGGTCTTCCAGCAAAGCGTTTGCCTCGATATCAGTTCCTTTTCCCGATATCCGTTTCCTTGACCTTGACTCCGTGAAGTTCAAAGTGTTTCGAGTCATTTCTATTCCTGGGACTGTCCAGTAAAAAAGAAAATGTGTTATCACTCTCTTTGCAGAGCCCACATCCTTCCTCTCCTATCATTTCCCCAAAGTAGTGGTTTAAAAGGTTCACACCAAAAGGAGAGTGTGCACCGAACGCTGTAGCAGTAAAAGGAGCAGCAAGGTTGTTCCCACCAAGAAACCTGTGGGAAAAAGGGAGACTCCCGAGGAAGGCGTCCCAAAAGCGGCATCAGGCCCCTAGCACCTAGGAATGAATAGTTGTTATTGAGTGTAGCCTTTTGTATTTTTCCTTGGCTTGTGGAATGGGGAGAGGTAGGAAGTATCAGAGGAGGAGCCTGGATTTTTGCTTACAGGCCAGTTATCCTAATTTTTTTGTTCATATTTTGGTTTCTGTTTTTCATGGGGTGTGGGAGAAATCAGGAAATCAGAAAAGCCCTTAGTGCACCTTCATGGGCTTGTTTCATCAGGGATTTGATTTTTCTGTGTTACTACTGTGGACCAACTAGATGAGCATTCAACCCCTTAATGCCTTTAGGAATGAATGCTTCTCTTTGTGGTGCTCCCAGAAGCCTTTGCAAGGGAGCAGGGCAGGATGTTAATTAAATTTATTAGAAGGCCACGTTATAAACCATTCTGTATTTTTCTTCTCCTTTGAAATTATCCTCCGCATCAGTATATTACAAGCTCACTAGACAAGATAAATGTATTATATAGCAGGTAATAGAAGAGTTCAGATAATTCTATGTTAGTAAGAAAATGTCCCAATTTGTTGCTATTCTATAAAATTTAGCCATAAACCTTCCTCCATTATCTAACCTGTTCTTTGTTTTCTCAGAGAAGTTCAAGACCCCAGTTCTTCCATTTAGTCACACACAAAAGAACACTCAGGTATCTGATTGGGCTCTAGTTTCCATCATTATCCACAGCTGAGTGGCTGCCCTCCCTGTTGATTGATAATATACCTCCTTAAGCAGCTACAAAGTTGAGTTACTCCAGTCACAAGTGTTTCCTGTGTTCTGTATTTCCAAACTCCAGAGGATAAACAGGGCACTTAAGGATATTTAGAGGCTGGGCGTGGTGACTCAAGCCTGTAATCCCAGCACTTTGGGAGGTGAAGGCGAGAGGATTGCTTGAACCCACGGGAACAGCCTGGGTTCAAAAAATTAGCTGGGCATGGCGGCACGTGCCTGTAATTCCAGCTACTAGGAGGGCTGAGGCAGAAGAATCACCTAGCCCAGCAGGTCGAGGCTGCGGTGGCTGTGAGCGTACCACCACACTCCAGCCTGGACAACAGAATGAGACTTCAACTCAAAAAAAAAAATAGTAATAATATTTAGAACCTGCTCCACAGCCACAAAATTGAAACATCAAATTTTCTTACATAGTACCAAAATGATGTTCCCTGGATTTGAGAGATACAGTTTAGGCCCACATTAGAATGACTCATCCAAAGATGTGTTATAATTTGAAGGAAGGAGGTAGGTAGAGAAAATGAAATAAAGAAAAAAAATGATGAATAGTTTGTCTTACCTTAGTTGTCAGGTCTCTGCTAGTTGATCAGAGGCCATGACCTGGAAGTTATAGCACATTTGAGAGAAATCTATCAAGAATTTAATTATGACAGTCTTATCCCTAATCTGAGATCTTACACATTACTTTCTCTTTCTGAGAATAAGAGTTTGAAATAGCCCAGTACTTTGTATGGAGTTTAGGCATATACAATGGTGGCAATTAGGGCTCTTGTATTTCCTGAGGCCTACTTTCCCTTTGTTTATTTCCAACTCTATCTTCCATGGTTTTTAAAGTTTGGAATGTCTCTTTGTGTTTCCTCTTTACCCCCTGTGTTTTAAATTTATTTTATTTTAAAGATATGGAGTACAATTCAGGCTTAGGTGTACAAGTGGTCATCGTACAGGTAAAGTTTGAATCTACCTTTGATCCCCACTGGCTTGAGGTCAGGTACCTTTGTTAATGCTATGTGCCCCCATCTCCCTTCCCAGTTTCTGGCTACTGCCAATTCCTTTCTTATAGTGGCTTTGTTCTCCAGTGAACCTGATAGCCTACTTTATAGCAGACAACTTTCCTATCATATTTTAGCCTGACATTTCTCCATTTCCATTTTCCTGCTCTTTCTCCTTCCTCATCAAGATCCCAGAGATTTCTGAGCCTTTGATTGACCTCTTTATTTTTATTGCTTTTATTGCCTGTTTTGGAATTCCTTAGTCCTGTGGTTCCTGTTTTTGTAGGAGGAGGTTCCATGTCATTTCCATATTCACTTCACTGACAAATGCCTTTTAAGAGGTTTCTGAATTAGTATTGCTGTTAAGAATATTTCTGGGCCAATCACGGTGACTCATGCCTATAATTCCAGTAACTTTGGGAGGCCGAGGTGAGAGGATTGCTTGAGCCCATGGGCTCGAGACCAGTCTGGGCAACTTGGAGAGACCTCATCTCTACAATAAATCAGAAAATTAGCTGGGCATGGTGGTGTGTGCTGTAGTTCCAGCTACTTGGAAGACTGATACGGAAGGATCACCTGAGCACAGCAGGTCGAGGCTGCGGTGGCTGTGGGCATGCTACTGCACCCTAGCCTAGGTGACAGAGTAAGACTCCGGCTCAAAAACAAAAACAAAAAAGAATATTTTGAATCCTTTGCCCAGAATAAATATGTCCTCTGTGGTATCTCCTTGCCTTGGTGGAAGTGGCAAATGTTTCATTTTATATCAATTTTCCCTCAGCACTGGGACCAGACCTTGCTGCTTCTAATGTTTGCCTATTATATTTGTGCAGGTTTAGCTAGATTAAAAATTTAAGTTGGTCCAATGCCATCTCCTCCTAGGAAATGGTTAATAGTTTATTGTGTCAGAATGTCTTTTGTCCGTTTTCTTTTTCTTTGCTATTTCTGCTTTGATGTTGAGATTAAACCTGTTTTATTAAAGCTAATTCAATTTTTTCTTGAGTTTTGATATTTTTCCTTCTAAAGCTTCTCTAGCTTTTTGTTCACTGGCCAAATTTTTAAAGGCTTTTTACTTGTAAAAATTTACCTTTTCTCACCAAATAAAACCATGAATGGAATCAGTGGTTTAGGCATTGAGAAATGATATTAAAAAATATCCTTTGTGGCTCTTGAGGTTTTGATAATTTAGTTCAGGCTTTTTCCTACATCAATTTAAGAAGATGACCTATCCTCATTGTATGAAGGGTCTACCCTATTATTTCTTTCTTTATAAGCTCACCACACTCCTGAGGTTGAACTTAACTCTAGGTCTTCTGAACACTTAGCTCTGAATGAGGACAGGATACAGAACAGTGAACTTGAAGGTAGTGAACATGGACCGGCCTCTCATCAATCCCAGTCTTAAACGAACTTGCTAGAGCTCTGGCTGGTGGTGAAGTGAGATTTTTCTGGCTCTAGAAATGAGCAGTAGCACCAAGTCTTCACTACTGCGAGGCCATGATCAAGACTTATGTATGGCCTTTGTCCTTTCCAGGGGGACCTTTATTTCCCAAGTCCCAGTTGACTGTGTATATACTCACTTAACCTATTGAAATGTTAGGGAGAATAGGGTCCTGGGATCCTGAACCCTGTGCTGCCGTATTTAGTCCACTGCCAGGTCACTAAGGGAGATTTGTGCACAGGGGACAGACCAGGCAAAGGAGGTTTTTTGTCACTAGCTGGGCGTTGGCTTTGTGAACACTGAAGCCTTGGTGTGCTGTGCTGGACTATGTGGGAGATTCTTTGTGCCTGAGGAAACTACTTTCTTTGGGCCCCTTTGATTTCTGCTTGGCTTTCTGAGGGATGTGGGAACATCTCTTTTGGAGGTTGAGATTCCACGTTCTTTCCTTCCATACCAGGTTTTGGGAAGAAGAACCCCTTAGAGAAACTATTATTATACAGGTTCAAAGAGCTTTAACCCTATGTCCAGCTATAAAGAATGCTTTACTTTGTAGCCCTTGAACTCAAGTCCTCGAATTCAACCTATGTATGAATACTTATTTATCTTGAGTTAAGATCTCACTCTCACCTAGGCTGGAGTGCAGTGGCACAATCATGGCTCACTGCAGCCTTGACCTCCTGGGCTCAGACGATCCTTCCACCTCAGCCCCCAAGAAGCTGTGATTACAGGTGCACGCCCCCACACTCAGCTAATTTTTTGATTTTTTTGTAGAGATGAGATCTTGCTATGTTGCTCAGGCTTGTCTTTAACTCCTGGGCTCAAGCGATCTTCTCGCCTCAGCCTCCCAAAGTGCTGGGATTACAAGTGTGAGCCACTGTGCCTGGCCTGTATGAGTCCTATTAGAAAACTCATTTAGAATGCTAATTCCCAGAAACTTTCTTTTATTAGCTTTTGTTTCTTCTTGGCTTCCTTGAAACTGTAACTGGACTCCATTCCAGCTGCTCATTGCCCAAAAGCCAAACTGAGAGATAAGAGTTTGTGGAAGGAAAAAAAATAGGTTTTATTCAGGAGCCGGTGACCTGAGGACTAAAGTCACAAAAACATACCTTGAATTTCCAGGCTGATTAGAAAGGTTTTTAAAGGGAAAGTTGGTATGGGAAACATGTGGGAGTGGCACAGAGTATGGGTCTACAGGTCAGGTTCTGATGGCTCATCTTGGGTGATGGTCCTCCTGGAGGTTGGCTTGGTGTTATCTGGCTGTAATCAGGTTGTGGATTATCTGGTGACTCTCCCTACGTGGGAGGGTCCTGCAATCAGGATTCCTTTTTTGGTCTGTTTCTAGATCAGCCTCTGGAAGTATTAAGCACATGATCAGATAAGCATGCATTTGTGCAAGAAAGGATATGAAGGAAAGGGATGGAAGGAAAAAGGAAAGAGAAAGAAAAAAGCTTTAAAAAAAAGGGGAGATGATAAAAAAATGTTCCAAAGCAGAATTCTTAGTTACAAAATTATACAGTAAGTCCTCTACGTGGTTGTAAACTTTCAAAGATGCAAACATGCGTTTGCATTGGTTGAGGAGGCACTGTTAGTTTTTGAGGACCCCAACGTAGAGTGGTCCATGAAGTCTGTAGCAGCCGTTCAGAATGCAATCCTGTGCTTCTGTATTATCTATGAAAAAAAAAGAGCTACTACCCAGATATTACTGAATCTTGTTTTCAAAAGAGTAGATAGAACTGAATCCAGCAAGCTGCCAGAACCTGTGCCATCAGTGTCAGGTGTGAGTGAAATTGCAGCTTGCCCTCTGTCTCCTTTTCTGACGACCCTTCAGCTCTACCATCTCCCACCTCCTCCCCTCTTCCTGATAGTAACTCTTCTTGCCTGTTCACTCGATGCCAGCCTCTGTGTGCCAGCTACTGTACTGTACTATTGTACTTTTTAAGGTACTATAAGATTAAAAACATTTTCCTTATTTTTTATGTTATGTATATTTATGTGAAAAGTATTTTGTTTTTTTTGAGTTGGAGTCTCACTGTCACCCAGACTGGAGTGCAGTGGCTGCTCCCGGCCACCGCAGCCTTGACCTGCTGGGCTCCTGCGATCCTTCCACCTCAACCT